TATTTAGCTTCATACCTTCAGGGCTTTACTTTACTAATATTTTTTGCCATACGCTGGTCTTAGATATCTTATTTCTAAAAAAAAAGAAAAAGAAATATACATCTGTACTTAGCAAAGATGCCCCCTTGGTAAGATAATATAAGAGAAAATTAATTATGTACGGGATTAGTATGTATTCATTATTAGAGATAAATTTATTGTCATTATGAAAATATAAAATTCGAAGAAAACAACAAGGACAAAGACAAGTTCAAGGATAAGTACAGTTTGTTATTTATTAAATGATGATGATAATGATGATGATAATGATGATGATAATGATGATGATAATGATTATGGTAATGATTATGGTAATGATTATGTTATGATGATTAATACATGAAGTTAAGAAAACTACAACGTTATTTGTACATGTTAAATGTTAATCATCTAGCTCTCTGATCCCTTAATCTGTTCTAATTAAATATATTTCTTAAAAATAAACAAGACTTGTCTTTTATCAATAATTCCAAGTTCTTTTAAGTGAACGAATGGTTTTGAATTTAGAATTAAAGAAATATTACAATTTAGAAAAAATTTCCGTGAGTTAATTATTTTATTGGTTTATACCCATGTGATTAGTGTAACAATATTTTATCTAAAAAATTTTCCCTTAATCCTAAAGATGAATTTTTCAGAAATTAATATTAGCGTATCAGAAGGATTAATACCTAAAGCAATCCGTAAAGAATCATTGTATTTTAGCGACAGTAATATTAGTGGTGGTGATGATGATGAACAAAAGCCACCATATATTTTTGATATAGTGGCAACTAGTTCATATTGTATAGTATCAGGATCAAATAATGAACTCAGATATTATAATTACAGACAAAGCTCAATCACTCTCGCAGAAAAATGTTCATTTCATTCGGATATTATCACAAAAATAAAATTGCATGATGATCAATTATTCTTTTCTAGTTCGAAAGATGGTACAGTTGCACTATGGGATTTGAGATTATCACATCAAAGACCTGCTCAAATGCTCCAAGGTAATTTATGATTTATTTATATGTGCATGATTACAAATGTAATAAATTAATAAAAATATATTTTTAATTTAAAGCAACAAAAAAAGAACCATTATTATCTTTTGATTTAAACATTACTGGCAAAGTAGTAGCTGCTGGTACTGAACTATCGAGTGGAGGAGATGTTAAAATATTATTTTGGTATTTATCACAAGTAATTTTCTTTTTTTTAATTACTTTTTATTAAAAATTTAAATTTATTTACAGGGATTTGAGAAGTTCTAACAAAGTTAGTGCAGAATTTACTGAATCACATAGTGATGATATAACACAAATACAATTTCATCCAACAAGCCCATCTAAACTATTATCTGGATCAGTTGATGGTCTAATTTGTAATTTTGATTTGAAGAGTTTTGATGAAGATGAAGAGTTAATTAGTGTAATAAATTCTTGCTCATCAATCAATAAAGCTGGATATTTTGGAATTAAAGGAGAAAATATCTATTGTCTAACTCATAATGAAACATTCAGTCTATGGAATTTCTCTGAAGTATGCATACTATTATTAATTTGAATATGTTATGAATAATCTATATTTTCAATTAACTTCTTTTCTTCTAAAATGTTTTGCTATTTAGGGAGAATTAATATCAAATATGGGAGACATTAGAACAGACCCTAATCAAAATGTTGTTGAAATTAATTATGGAATTGATTGTCAATTTGATTTGTCTACTAATAGGCTATATCTTTTATGCGGATCAAACAAGTAATCATATTAATATTATTCAGAAGATTGATTATTCAGTCACTAACAAATTCTTTATTTTATATGAATATTAATAATATTATAGTGGAGATATTAGTATTTTAAACGTAAATTTAAATGAATTACAATTATGTCAGAAATTAAATGGTGGACATGATGAAATTGTTAGAAGTGTTTATTGGGACCCGAGGGTAATAATAATGAATGATAGCATTCATATAAATTATAAATTATTGTAATATAAAAAACGAATCTATTAATGAAAATCAATTTATATTTAGACAAACATCTTTATTTCTGGTGGTGAAGATTCAAAATTGTGTTTATGGAGTTCGTCTTAAATGCACTTATTTAATATTATTATTCATATTCAAAAGTAAAATTTATTCTGATACGTAAAAAGCTTATGATTCTTCACAGTGTGTGAATGACGTCATAATCGCGTATTTAAATTATAGCTTATATTCTCCAATGATAAATATACCAACAAACAATAAAATAATTATATCACAAATGACTGAATTTTGATACATAAAATTCTTGTAGTTCCAATGCTCACTTTGTCTGGTTTTGTTGTAGCATGCCCCATATATATATATTTTTTATAAAAAAGAATATTTTGGATATACCATGTTATATTTTTAATTATTAAAATTTTATATTTTTTAAATTAATTCCCAATTAATTGATAAAGACCTTACCCTCAATATATTAGAATGAGCTTTAAGTCATATCATCTTCTCCAACTTTTAGTTTCTATATTATAATAATCAGATTCATCCAGCAAGTTTGTTAAAGTTTCTTGACATGACTTAATAATAGAGCATCATTGTTAAAAATTGATAAGATTGTAAAAAAAAATACGTTAACATTTTCAAGGACAAGAAACTTTTATTACACATTTTAAAAATTATTTTAATTTTATACTATAATAAACAAAACATAAATAAAATAAAATTACACAAAATTTTTTTTCTTTGATGAAAAATATAAAATTCATCTTGATTCAAAAAAACCAATTTCACTTGATTATTTTATACACCTCCACCTCTTTTAACAAATGAATTCTTTTATTACTAATTTTAAGTTTCAAATCTTTTTTATAACTATAATTATAATAATAACAATAAGGTTCATTGTTGATACTATTACGTATGTCTAAATCAATGAAATCTATTAATATTTCATGAAATTTTATTTTACCTACAGTTTTTCCAATAATTCTCCCATTATGCTGTATTGCACAGTCAGATCTTATAACTTTACTTATTATAGAATTAGAAATTTCTTACAGTTGCACTATGGGATTTGAGATTATCACATCAAAGACCTGCTCAAATGCTCCAAGGTAATTTATGATTTATTTATATGTGCATGATTACAAATGTAATAAATTAATAAAAATATATTTTTAATTTAAAGCAACAAAAAAAGAACCATTATTATCTTTTGATTTAAACATTACTGGCAAAGTAGTAGCTGCTGGTACTGAACTATCGAGTGGAGGAGATGTTAAAATATTATTTTGGTATTTATCACAAGTAATTTTCTTTTTTTTAATTACTTTTTATTAAAAATTTAAATTTATTTACAGGGATTTGAGAAGTTCTAACAAAGTTAGTGCAGAATTTACTGAATCACATAGTGATGATATAACACAAATACAATTTCATCCAACAAGCCCATCTAAACTATTATCTGGATCAGTTGATGGTCTAATTTGTAATTTTGATTTGAAGAGTTTTGATGAAGATGAAGAGTTAATTAGTGTAATAAATTCTTGCTCATCAATCAATAAAGCTGGATATTTTGGAATTAAAGGAGAAAATATCTATTGTCTAACTCATAATGAAACATTCAGTCTATGGAATTTCTCTGAAGTATGCATACTATTATTAATTTGAATATGTTATGAATAATCTATATTTTCAATTAACTTCTTTTCTTCTAAAATGTTTTGCTATTTAGGGAGAATTAATATCAAATATGGGAGACATTAGAACAGACCCTAATCAAAATGTTGTTGAAATTAATTATGGAATTGATTGTCAATTTGATTTGTCTACTAATAGGCTATATCTTTTATGCGGATCAAACAAGTAATCATATTAATATTATTCAGAAGATTGATTATTCAGTCACTAACAAATTCTTTATTTTATATGAATATTAATAATATTATAGTGGAGATATTAGTATTTTAAACGTAAATTTAAATGAATTACAATTATGTCAGAAATTAAATGGTGGACATGATGAAATTGTTAGAAGTGTTTATTGGGACCCGAGGGTAATAATAATGAATGATAGCATTCATATAAATTATAAATTATTGTAATATAAAAAACGAATCTATTAATGAAAATCAATTTATATTTAGACAAACATCTTTATTTCTGGTGGTGAAGATTCAAAATTGTGTTTATGGAGTTCGTCTTAAATGCACTTATTTAATATTATTATTCATATTCAAAAGTAAAATTTATTCTGATACGTAAAAAGCTTATGATTCTTCACAGTGTGTGAATGACGTCATAATCGCGTATTTAAATTATAGCTTATATTCTCCAATGATAAATATACCAACAAACAATAAAATAATTATATTAAAAAAAAAAATGTCTTTTAAATTAAATGATATTGATGATAATAATAATAATAATAACAATAACATTCGTTCTTCTTTCTCAAATTTCAAATTTTCTCCAACTTCCTCAATCGACTCTTTGGAGACAATGCATTCTTCCAAAATTAAAGACGATAAAAACATGAGCGAATCTGATCGTTCTAAAGAAAATGTGCCAAGGTTGAAAAAACATCTTGATGTTATAACAGGTTAACTAACACTTGATTTACTATCAATAATCATCATTATTTATTTACATAGACACTCGTATTTTATTACTGTTGTAATTATTTTGATTATCTTGATTAAAGCTTTTGTTAAAGATGTTCACGATAAATTAAATAAGAATCCAATTGATAATAAAAAAGATATTGAAGATTCATTACAAGAAATAATTAGTAATGTCGATAAATTTCAAAATTTACAACAATTAACGAAAATTTATGATTTTGCAGATGAAATTGATGAACACGGTCAGAAGAATAATTGCTACAACTAATAAAATATTATTAAATTGTTTAGAGAACGTGTTTTTTTATTTTAAATAATTTATAATTTCTAGGCGTCAATTTCTGGAATGCATCAATTACTCTGAAAACAGCAAATGCTTCGAGCGAAAAAAAAATTGATAATGAAATAATTGCTATGGGTAATAATTTGAAAGCAATCACACTTGTATGTATTCGAGATTAATATCGCTTATTTTTTTTTTTTTTTTTTGTAGTTAGGCAAGTTGGATTTGTTATGATCCAAGCAGGCGCAATCTCGATTAGCGAATTGAAAAGTATGTATAATTTATTTGATTACATTTACTTGCAAATGTATTAAGATTCGATTTTTTTAATCATTCATTTTAGATAAAATAAAATTATTGACACTTGCATCAAAAGTTGGTAAAGCATGGTTAGGTGAGAATCATTATTTTCAAAAAGTTAAAAATATTTTTTTATAAGATAATTATATATTTCATATCTAAATATATAATTAATATAGATTGTGGAAGAAGTGACAAAGCTGATGAAGTATTAAGATCTGCGAATTTGGTAAATTTGCTTATTATTTTTCTTTTTACAAAGGAAAGAAAGGAAAGGTTGACAGATTAATTTATGCAGATTGAAGATTCGATTTTATCTTTACAAGAAAAAACCGCAAAGGATCAAAATTCAAAAGCTGCAGCTTTGGTTATTTATTACGCTTATCGTGTTGAGGCGGTGATATATGTTTTCCTTAATCGTTGTCAGTATAGTATTTAAGTAGTAATTAAAAATTATGACTTAAACGAAATTTGTTTTTTTACATTTAGGCTTGGAAATTGTCGAATACTCATATTGCAAATTTAATGTTACAAAATGCGATAGATATGAAATATTTGAATAACGTTACAGAAAATGAGGTAATTTTATAAAAAAAATTTCAAATATTTAAATAATTACCATCATTCTTACTACTTTTTTTTTAGATTATTGTTTTATGTCAAGTGTGTTTTACGATTGGACATCAAGCATCACGCGAAGGAAAGATTAACGATGCGATAAAATGGTTGAGACAATGTCACGAATTGATTTCTGATAGAATTTCCATATCAAACTCGCATAAATCAAAATTATTAGCAAGTATCATTAGTTCATTAAGTCATTAATCAATTATGATTTAGAAAAGTTGCCATTTAACAAGATAATAATAATAATAATTTAATTATAGAGCAACACATTAAATATTTTAGGTACGTTTTTATCAACATTATATTGATTTTGTAAAATTCGATAAATCCATTTAATTGTTTTTTTCAATTCATGTATAGCTACTTGTTATTTAAAAAATAGCGAATATGATGAATCTAATTTGGAATTGGCAGAAAACTCTTTAAATCTTTGTTTAGAGGTATGATAATTTTTATAACAATCAATAATTAATATATAGGCAATATTATTTATTATTTATCAACAGGAATTTCCAGGAAATGTTATGGCAACATCAATAAAACTTAAATTGATAAAAAAAAAAAATCTTTGTTCTAATATATTCGAAGAAGGTTTGCCACCTCACAATTAATTGCATCATGATAATGATAATGATTTTTGATTAAATTTTTTCCATCAATTAGCTTATTTTCAATTAATGAAAGCTGCAAAGATTACAATTGACGATTTGAAATTGTGAGTGGGTATCCGTCTTCCTATAAGCAACCAAATATTAAATAATTAAATGAATTATATAAATTTATTTTATAGATTGTTGAATGATGCTTATTTTGTTAGCGAATTCGAGTAAGAAAAAAGAATGTTTTATTTAATAAATTATTTTAAAATTTGTATTAATTTTTCACTTATTTAAAAAAAAAGTACAATGATGGCACTTAGAGGTATGGATATACTAATTGAAGAACGACTTTCCGATTTGCGAAATATTCGGTACATCGAAAAGGCTATTATTACAAAGTTTCATATTATTGGAAACATCTATAATTTCGAGAAATTGGAGATGGAAGATGACATTATTCGAAGTGCCGAAATCACACTTGGATGTACGTTTTCTTTCACTTGAATTTTTTAAGTTGTGATTTTTTAAGTTGTGACTAAATTGCTGCCTTTATTCATTTTGAAGTTGAACAGCGACATGGAATAGTACTCGGTCATAAAGTCAAAACTGCGTGTCAATTGGTATTACATTTATTAGTTTTTTTATATATATAGCATTTTTTTCTATATATATATATTTAATTAATAAATATTAGATTCTTTGGCAAAATGGCGACCGAAATTACGCAGTGAGTGAGCTTTCTTTCTCTATACCTCTCTGGTTTTTTTGAATTTCAAAAAATTCATCGACTATTTTGAGAATTTCTAATTCTTCAAAAAAAAAAAAAAATAGAATCAAAAATATGAGCCTGCAAAAAAATGGTTTACAATCGCGTATAAATGGCTGGCAGATAATGAATTAAATAATCGAAATGCTGCAATATTACAAAGGTAATAACAATGACAATAATAATAAGTAAAAATTTACATTTATCTATTGTTTTTTGATTATTATTATCACAGAAAACTTGCGATCTGTTATCTTGAAGAACAAGCATTTGCCGACGCTACAGAAGCAGTTCATAAAGCACAAACACACGAAAAAAATTCCGCGGCAAATTTTTATATATTGTATCATATCTCTATGGAAAAAAGCCAATTTGATCAAGGTGACAAACAATTCAATAGTCTTGATTTTGTCATTATCTTAACGTCGTACGCTAAAGATTTGCTTTACCGATAATGATCAATTAGCAATTCAATATTTACATGACATGTGTAAAGGTGATGGCTTTCAAGGAAATATGTTGGCAATGGTGGCGAATAATTCATATCAAAAAAGTAATAAAGATGTTTTGGCTGAAGCATTGAAAGAAATCCTGATCAAGTACCAGAATGGTGAAGATGTTGCTAATACCGATATATTCATTCTTCTAAGGTATAATCAATCATATTTTGCGATGATATATATATGTGTGCTTGTTTGTTGTAAAGAATTTTATGATTAGTAATCGATTATTATTGTTTGTTAGGTGTTTGATAAGAATGACATTGAATTCTTTGTCCAATACTGATGCCGAAAGGTTTTGTTGAACGTTAATTTGTTTATTTGCATTTATTATCGACATTTGCGAATTTTCCAATCGATTAATAATATTGATTTTTTAGTTCACTTAAAGAGTCCATTTGTGGATATTTTGAAATAGGTAATAAAATTTTAGTTGCTTTTGAACATTTTATCAACTTTAATAAAAGCACAATAATAAAACTGTTTACATTAGCGCTAAATATATTAAGACCCAAAGAAGATTTCGATAGTATAAATAGCGGTAATATTAAAAAAAGAAATCAAACGGAAAAAAATAAATTGTTAAAAGATCTCGAATGGCTTTATAAAACCGGTAAACAAAGAGAATATACAAAGTAAACTTTTTCAATATATTTACAAATTTCTTGATTATTTTAAAAAAGCTTGGAATATAGGATTAGAATTTTGTCAAAAATCAGAAATTGGTAGTGATTTATATGCCATTAGATTATTTAATGTTTCGCACAGTGTTAGTATAATAGTAATGAATACTCTATTATTATTTGATGGCAAGATAAAATGACAATTACACCCCTCTACTCTTTCTCCCTCATCCTCTCCATTTTTTCTCTTTCCCTTGATAAATAGTTTCTTTGTGAATATCCAGAAGAAACATCAGAGATTGCAAATGGAAAAAGACTATGTATCTTTACATCTTTATGTGGACAGTTATTTCTTTCAAGGAATGAAAAATACATATCAAAAAAGGTACAATAGCTATATTATTAACGTATTGGTTTTACGAATTATGACCAATCAATAATATTATCAATTACTAATAAAAACAGAAAGAATTATTGGAGCAAACAATTTTAAATATTGATAAATACAAAAAACTTAAAAAAGTCCTGGGTAAAAGAAAAAGAACAATTGATGATGATGACGATGAAGATGACAATAAGGATAACAATAACAATCAAAATAGCAGGAATAACAAAGAACCATTAGCACAAAATGATATGGTAATCATTACATTATTTGAATTTGAAGCTAAAGTTAAATTGGGCCAATGGGATGAATTAATGAAAATATTAGATGTATGTATGCGCGTGTGTTTATTTCAATTATTGATTAAATATTAAAGCAAATGAAAAAAACGTGTTTTTGATTTTTAATAACATATTATTGAACAGTCAGTAGAAGCTTATGATTTTGAAGTGCCGTCAAGAATATTTGAAAGAATGGCAGAGCTATTGATAATTGAGAGCGAATGTCCCAGTTCAGGTAAGTAAAAATATTTCATTGGAAACTGGACTAATAAATAATAATAACAATATTATTTATTATTATTATTATTATTATTATTATTATTATTAATGGGATTGGAAAAGTAATATTTACGACTTTACAGGTTGGTTTGTTATTTTTATTGTTTAATATTCCAACTTATAATCAATAAGCCCCACTATAAATAAGTAATGCTTTTTATAGGTTTTGTTGGATTCCTTTTTGAAACATGAACAGATTGATATTGTACAATTCTCGAGATGGTTTAGAGTATTAATTATTACGGCATTGGCTAAAAAAAAGCAAGAATCACTGCAATATTTTCAACAAGCTTTAGATATAATAAATCAAGGCAATTCAAAGGTACATCTGTCATGTGAATGATATTTTTTTTTGCGAAACAACATTTTAGTTTACTATTCTTATCATTTAGTATCCCGAAGAAGAGATTCAATGGTTAATGGTTAGCGCATGGAATTGTGGAATTGATTATTATTCGTATGATATTTGTTAAAATTCTTGACGGTTATATTTTTTAATTTTTTATTTGTAATCTAAAAATAATCGCGAAATTTTTTCTTTTGTAAAAAAAAAACAGTGCTAATGATTTTTCAAATGCAAAAAATTGGTGCGAAATGGCAATTGCATTTTGTAAATTCCTTGGGAATGGATTATTATACGAGGAAGAGGTTATTAGGATTAATTTTCAATTATTTAAATAAAAATAATACAATATAAAAAAGGGTTATTAATTTTTCTATTAAATTTTTTTTCAAAGATGCGAAAATCTTACGTTGAAATAATTAAAAATTGTGATTCGTAATAAAAAAAAGCCTTGCGTATATATACAGTATTTATTATTACAACAAATTAGTTATAACAAATAAATTTAAAAATATTAAAACTTTATATTTTAATCATTGATTTAAATCTTTTATATTGTTTGGGTATAACCACTTGAGATGCTTTTTAATTTTCAAATCCTAAAAAAAAAAAATAGCAAAAAAGTATATACATATGTCTCCATTCCCCATGTTAGTGATGTGAACCAGCTAAACTGGCTAAAAAAAATTTCTTTTAACATTCATTTTTACGTCCAGAATTTTAGTGCAGAGTTCAATGGCATAGACACTTAGTTGGGTGGGTCCATCTGCATTACTTAGAATGACAAAAAATAATACAATACTCGCAGTAGAATAAAAGTAACAGTTGGAGTTCTGGATTATTAGTAAGTTTAATTCGAACATTATTTAAAAAGAGTTAATCCATAATGATCAAAGAAAGAAAAATATTTTTACGTTTAAATAATGCAAGTTCTTGCAATTCTCCAACTTGCCAAATATAAAGAACTCATTTTCTCCCTCCAAACACAACATTTGTACTGCAACCTTTAGACCATGGCATTATTTTATAGCTTGAAGGTAGTAGATACATAATCTTTAAGATTATGTATCTACTTAGCCAGGCTATATATCTACTACGACTAGATTATGTATCTACTATGACTAGATTATGTATCTACTAGGTAGATATAACTATGGCTATGATCCTGGTATGCGTGTGTTGGCACTCTTTCTTTTATTCGAAGTCATGTACATTGTTGTAGTTGCTGGCTTTTGATTGGTTCCCAAATGGTTTCCTTGCCCAAGGCTGAGGCATAACATGCTGATTGTGAGGGCTATGCCCGAACTGGATGCAAAGTATCCTGGTTTGCAAATCCGCAATGATGTAATTATTAATAAATTAGACTATTTTGTAACCAAATGGCGTATTGAATGAGTAGTCGAATAAATTGCCACAAAAACGTATAAATAGAACCTCTATCCTCCACTTTGGGCCAAAAAATTGATTCGTGAAAAAAAATACATATCTCTTATACCACATCTCTTATATCGCTATAAACAATGCATTTTCTAGGCGAACTGCCAGCTTTTTTAATTGTGGGAGGTGAGGCATGAAATGCCGAATTGGCAATCCGTATTTTGGCTTTATATGTTGCATTCGAATTCGAGGATGAGGCACAAAGTGCCGAAATAGCAATCTATATTTTGCCTTGCGCAACGTTTTTGATTTCCGGATTTGAGGCACATAGTGCAGAATTTCATTTATTTGGTAGAACGCAAAAGCAAAATTTTTCTTACTTTTCCTATATATAATTCTACCTTTGCGTCCTACCAAAAGTTTGCTAAAGTTTGCTATGTTTTGGATCTCTAGAAACCTTTCTCGCGTAGTCGATACTTTTGGGTACTACCGATTCGAAAGAAAATTGGGTCATACTTTGGTGTATTACTAGATCGAAAAATTTATTGCTTTTGCGTACTACTGATTCAAAAAATTTATTCTTACTTTTGCGTACTACCGAAAAAATCGAAAAATTTCGTGCTTTTGCGCCATAATTCCATCACACGAATTTTTATTTAAAGTTTTGAATTTTCTATGTAATTTATACCTCTTTGTTTCACTCACCTACCTAGTTATAAAGTGTCTATAACGTGCATTCGTATAATCCACTTCTGCTTCCGGATACGATCGCAACCCTCTCACAAGAGGAGGACGACGCTTCTCTTGAAACGATCTTGCTCAATCTTGTGATCTGCCAACTAAGTCTCAATGATTCTTTCAATAATCCAAAAGCTCATCTATGGAAGTGCAATCATTAATTGAGTTTCAGGATTTAACAGACCTTGATTACAAGCCTAGTAATACAAATCATTTTTACTTTCGAAATCTACTTCCGTCCGATAAGACAGGGAAAACTAATAATAAAGAAGACTATGATGACGATGTTTACAATAAAGGGTCATTTGAAAAAGATATTTCGCTTTTCGAAGCCTATCGTCCAGAAGTGATTAATTCTAAATATATATTTGGGTGGCAGAAAAAGGCTTTACAGTAATTGATCATCCTTCCGAAGTTTATGGAATGCCAGATGCACATGAATGTATTGACGGGAACTAGCCCCTTCGCTTAATTCTTGATATTGATGTGAGACAAAAACCCAATCCTACTAATCCTGAGCTTCCTTCTCTAGATGGTAAAAAAATTACTTGTGAAGATTTGATATTTCAGATTTTAGATGATTGTGCAGGTATAGTATATTCCGCATTTGGTTGTGTGGTATCATTAAGTAATTTCGCCTTGGCAAGTTCATCAGATGCAAATAAATGTAGCTGGCATATTATTTATCCTTATGCTTGATTTATTGATTATAGAGAACTTCAAAGTTTTACAAAAAAAGTTTCTGAAACAGTTGGTAAGCCATATTCCGAATTCATTGACATTGGACTTCCCAAGTCACGTTTTAGTCTATTACTTCTTGGATCAGCAAAAGGAGGCAGAGTTAAAAGACCTGCGATCTCTTCAGTTAAAAATAGATTTCACAAGTTAGAAGATTATTTGGTTCAGCCTAGAGATGAACAAATGGCGTATAGTTGAACACTGTACGATACTATATGATACTTTACATATAGTACGTATAGTACGTATAGCTGTGTTGAAATTTGATTGGGTGATTTTCCAATGTAATACGAAACTGTATAATATGAAAAAAAAATAATTTGGCTATTAAGATAAGCATAAATCTTTAATTTATTCAACCTACACTTTTTTAGGTTTTATTTATGAATAATTGGTTATATTGAATGAGTTAAATATCATAAAAGTCAAAACTGCTTTCATTTTTATTTGATTCTCCAATAAAATTTTCATCAGCTTCTTTGATGAAATCTTCAATTATGCTGTAATTTATTTGTACACTAAGTATTTGAAGTATTAAAATGTTCTCCAAAATAATTTCTTTTAATTTGAATTGTGGCATTTGGACAAAGACGTAAATGTTTTTCACATCTAGATATTGAACTAGAACATTAATATTAAAATGTTGCCAAATTGTGGGCAAGTTTAAAATATATGAATCTGATTCATTTTGTCAACTTCATTAAACAAATTTCTCCTCACACTTCCCACACACTCCATTTTTCTCACCTAATTTCTTAACTAACTTCCCACACTCCTCACATCTAACTCGCTTGGTCTCTGGCTTGAGGATGAAATAATTTTCGATGAAATGAACATTAAACAAAGTGAACATTCAATGAAACAAACTTTCAACAAAATGAACATTTGACAAAATGAACTTTTGATGAAACAAACTTTCAATGAAATGGGTGTCAATGAAATGATTATTGTGAGAAGAGTATTAATTAATTTTTATGTGTAACATCACATCTATTATTTGGCAATAACCTAAACAGGAATTGATTTACATTTACTACTATATTTTTCTAGAACTATACGCACTATACATATCACTATACATATAGTACTGATCTGCCCATCTCTAGTTCAGCCTAAAGCAAATTGTTCTCTAATCTGGTCATAAACCTTTTCTTCTGAGAAGTCTGCAGAGGAAAAATTCCAACCTATCAAATATTAAGATGCTTTAGTCATCAGGAAAATGGGTACAAATATTATGTGTATATAATACGCAATTGCAGGGATTAAGCATATAATATCATCAGGAAATTTTTTCTGATGCAAATTTGTGTAATATTATGGGGCCCACTGTAAACTTACATAAATAGTGTAATATTATGCAAAAATTACGCAAAAATTACGCAATTATTACATTCAGTGTAAATATTATGTCCTTTTTATGTGTAATATTACGACATTTCATATTAAAACTTACAGATGTAATATTATGGCGGGAAAAGTTTCCTGATGATCTTTATTGCTCTTTGGCTTTAAGTCTTGTGCAAAAGAAACACCCAACCTTAAATCAGTCATAAAATTAATGCAATTATTGGTAATTATTGTGGGTATACCATAAAAAGTAAATGAAAAAAAAAAATAGGACATAAGGAACAGCAAGTTTGGGAGTATTCATACTAAACTAACCACTGACCATATAAGGGTATTGGTTTTGGAGATAAAGGTGGACCAATGCTTCTGCCATATAAGCCAAAGACAGCCGACAAGGTTCAGGAACTCCTTGATGTAATAGATGATCCTGTTATTGAAGAGAATCAAGCTCTGACTCCAATTCCAATTCCAATTATATTGCAGAAGCAGATTATGTTGTAAAGTAATCCGTATGGAAAAAAATTGTCCTATATTAAGTATTTGAAAAATCTAAATCAAAAAATAATGTTTAGCTTTGTCCATTGGTTGGATTGGGGCACTCTGCACTGAGACAAATATCAGCAAAGCAGGCACGGCCAGTTTTTTTACTTTCATGCCAGACATGCTTATAAATTCCATTATGAATCCTACATATTCTAGTATGAGAGTTGGTTAGCTTGTAACAAATAGAGCACAATTTTTTGGGACGTGATCTGAAATCTCTAGAGCATCCTGTGCTATGCCAGCATCCTTTCCCACAGATTGTTCCATCACTCTTGATATTGGCAGGATAGATGATGTTCCATACAAGGTAATTTCGATATTATTGTGTGTTAAACTTTCCTTCACTTTTTATTACAGGTAAATTGGATTCAAAATGTGAAATATATTCCAAGACCACTTAACTGAATGTCTACTTGGATCTCTCATTTGGAGCAGTCATATTTCCTGAGATCTAGAGCATTGTGTACTCCACAGGTATTTAATTTCGAATTTGAAAGAATATATTTCATACATAGTCATAGTTACTTCTAAGGTTTCTGGTCGAAACTGCTTCTATTAGTAGCCGAAATTGCCCAAATACTTTGAGCAAAAATTATTTTTTTATAAGCCCAAACTACTTTTTGTTATTAGCTGAAATTGGGCGAAATTATTTTAAAGTTGTTTAAGTTAAAACAAGTTGATTCATATAGTTTTTTAATGTTCATGCTTTTAGAAATGCTGAGAAGCCCAAATTGCCCAAACTAGTTTGGGCTTTGAGAAACAGTTGGACTAGAAACCTTAGTTACTTCTACTACTTCTACCTACTATTAGAATGTCTGCATAAAAAAATATGGATTAACCTCAGATGGACTCATCTCAGCTAAGTGCATATGCCAATGAATTCTGCACTAAAATTTCTGACTGGTGCATTTGTAAAAATGCAAGAACCCATCATTGCGATCTCAAGTTCAGTCCAGAACAACAAAGTAAACCAGTTACTGTGAGGAATAAAGCTCAAGAAATTATGGAATCTACTGATCCAATTGGCGAAGCATCTTTCACAATTTTCCTTGATAGTATATATGTGACACCAGCAATTGATTTACAATATAAATGTCTTCAGCATGAGCTACATGAAAAGGGAGTTTCTGAAGAAATTATCAATGCTACACTAGATGATTACATCACTTGGGAATCAAACAAGAAGCAAAATGCAGATCATAAACTTCATGCAAGAACCAGAATTTCTCCTCCCAAACATTTTAGTTTGGAATCTATAAATGCAAGAATCCAAAGCTATGATACTGCTAAATCACCTGACATTCAAGCTCTTGCAGATGTAATGGTCAGTGTAAAAAAGAGAGAGCTGGTCATGAAAAGGCTATGTGGGGAAGAATTGAAACAGAACTCCAGAATGTAAAGGCAGAAAACCTTGAATATGATCATCCTTTATGTTTGGGAGTACTTGATATTACATCGGAGCCATTCACAAATATGCCTCAATTGTTTTGTGATGTTTTTTGAAAACCATTTCAAAAATATAGATTAAACGAAAATGGAATGATAAAGGACATGCATGAGAAGTATATTCAGGACAAAGAAGCAAAGAATAGTTCAGATGAGTTTGAGAATTTAAGCAATGTTGAATATGGGAAATGGTTGGATCAGCCCAAAAAACTACAAGAAATAACAAGACAATTATTGGAAGCATTGTTAGTCTATTATTTTTTTTTTTTTTTCATAGAAAGTAATCTATAATTATTAGAAATCAATTAACAATATTTCTTATAGGGGTAGAATTTGGAGATTGCCAAATTATGGATCATTTATTGCAAATGGAAAACCACAGATAAATGAGGGTTCGTATGTATGCGAGGTAATTGGATTGCTATTGAATATTGTAATGTGCAATTTACCAGGAAATCCGATTGCTTGGGGTTTATGGTAAGCCTGAAATGTTGCTTTTTAATGGTTGATGGGTAATATTGTTAATGTAATTTTTCTGAAATAAGGGGTGAAGAGGTAAGCTTGGCTAATGCATTATGAAAGGGATCTTGAAAAATTGCACAAAGGGCTGATTTCATGGCAGTTGTGCAGTTGAGGAATAATGCAAAATTGGAGATTGTATACCTTGAAACTGGTTGCCCTAATTCTAATTGACTTAAGTGTCAGTGAGACCACAAAAAATTAATATGTTTCTCAAAGGATTCTGTTGATACTACAAAAAAAGAGTCCAAACTTAAAAGGGTATTCAACCAGCCATCTATAAGGCACTTGTTGAGCATTTTTACAATCAATATTGCAGGTATATGATTTAAAATTCCCTTTCAGAAATTGAGTATTTTGATAATTCATCAGTGGACAAATTTTATAGGTGATGTGATGGAACTTTATGCTATGCATAAGGGTTCAGGTATCCTTAAGTATTGTCTGATTGAACAAGCATCAATCCCTTTGCACATAACATCGCCAAGTGGTGTTTACTCACTTATCCACATGTTGCTAACTTTTAGGGTAGGCCTTTTTTTTCTCTTTATGAGTATGTAATGGTAAAAAAATACTATTATTATTCCTTTCAGACCGCAATCACATGTACTTTATTTAAGATTACACATCATTCTGAAGAAAGGGGATAGTGATTTTAGTGAAGAAGAAGGTCAAACAACTACTATGACACCTGAAAGTTCACCTTATTAATGTATTACAAATAAAAATATGAGTCAGAGACTTTATGCTCTGCATATTAATTTTATTTCCGGAGGTAGATCAGCTGACTTATTCTAGATATGGGCACCTAGCTGACTTTTTAATGAAAACTTCATGTAATTGTTGAGGAGAGATATTCGGAAATAATGGAAGTCTCTCTCTGGTAAACCAAATTTTCTTTACCCTCACTTTGTGAAATTTTTGTACTATCATACCTGGATCATCTTCTAAGGGACCATGAAATTTCTCAAATTTTTGGAGATATACTCTTACATTTTTATCAGCTTTGTCCACCTTTTATTGGTTAGTATAACCAAGTTCTTCCTGAATTGTCATTATATACTCTTCTAAATATAAAGCAAATTATATAATTTCAAAAGTGATAAATCAGTGGAAGCTTTATTGCTTTGATTTGCCAGATTATTATACCTTTCCACTGCTAGAATGGGATTGCCATCAACATCAAGATTTTTCTGTATTGATATTAAATCCCCCACCAAATGTAATAATAACTTATATGAATCAACAAGTGTTTTGCCTCTGGACTTGTGTATTCTTACATGATTTATATTGCCATTAATACTGAGTTTTTCTTGAATTGCTATTATATCCTTCTTCTTATATAAAAACACTTCATATAATTGAGCAAGTGTTTTGCTTTGACCAGATTTATCATTAGTATTACTTATCATATTTGTTATAATAAAATAATATGTTTAATGCAGAAAATAATCATGTAGATGTACAAATTTAGTAGAGAAAGCACAAGGTGCTACAGTGTGGATCATCTATACTCAAAAGTTAAAATTTTTGAAATATTATGTGATCCACACATTGGATTTTTAAAAACTCGCCACCATTCAATTTGGCTTTAAAAAGGGGAGTCTATTAATCTAAAAAAAAAAATGTCTCAAATTTTCTTTTTCATAGATTTTTTAAATTTGAAAGTTATGCTCAGAAGTGCAACAATAATTTTCGTGTCACGCTATTTTGAATCTCACGACCAAATTTAGTAATGATTTTCTTTAGATGTACAGTCAAGCCTCGTTTCAACGAATCTTGTTTCAACGAATTTTTGTTTCAACGAATTTTGATCTTGTCCCCTTTTTTTATTAATTAAAAATTTTCGTTTCAACGAATTTTTATATATATATCAGTCGTGGGACATGTCACAGGGAGTGTAATTTCATATGTGAAATTAAAATTTCAAATTTGTGTAACTAATCGAAGTTTAAAAATATCTCGACTTTTTAATAATAAACTTGAACTTCACTATTAAGATAAAAAGAAACTACACCATTTAAGCTTTCTAACCATATATTTTTATATCTAAGAACGCTCCCTATATAAAGCTATGGCTATTTAAAAGTAGTGGTGTTTTTTCACTTCAAGGCTGTGATTATCTACCAATATCGCTTTTAAATGCTTGATAGTAACAGACAAGGTGCAGAATACTTTAAGCTTTAATATGGGTATTACTTTATATGGGGCTTTGGTTAATAAGTTTTAGAGAGGTTCACGAAAAACTTTTTCAGAGGCTTTTAATATTATTCACATAAAGATCATTCACTGAATCTTTTTTACAATTGACAAAAAAAAAATGAATAAATTGAATGACCAAGTATGTCAATTATTTAAAATAATAAATTCTATAGGTGTATTATTTATTTGATGAATTAGAAATAAAAAAAAAAATTTTATTATTTGAACTAATGGAAATATTAAAAAGTTAAGTATTTTTATTTCTTTTGTATTTATTATACCAACGATCTCTAATTTGTTTTTTAGTCCAAGAATTTGAATAATTTTTTAATTCCATCAATAACTCTTCAACAAAGCTTGCAGGCAAAAATTCTATATGTTGATCTAACTTTTTAAGGATTTCTTTTTCTTCATCTGAAAGCACCCTTCTTCAAATTACAATTGGATCTAGTAAAGTTAAATTTGAGGTAGAAGGTACTGGAACATCCTCTTCAATTTGATTTGATATTTCTGGTTGTTGGATAGACATTTCTGAAACCTCTGCTAATTCCATGTTCATTGCATCTTCTTCTATTTCTTCTATTTCTTCTACTCTTTTAGATGTATCTTCAGGCAGTTGTGGTATTATGTCTTTTTTTCTTCTCCCAGGAGTTTTTCGTTCAGTTTTATCTATATCTTGTTTAATGATATTTTTAAGTCGTTCTATTCCTTTTTCATAGCAAGAAAACATGAGTTGGTAACCTTTTGTTGTCAGCTGCTTGGCTTCTGTAAACATAGGACATTCTTCAGGCGAGGAATCATTAAAAGTCTCTAGAAGTTTATCTACTAACTTCCACAATGCCTCATTACGATCATTCATAGTCCTTATATTCCTGCTTGTGGAAATATCATCAACATATTCATCATATAATATAAGAAGTCTTTCTCTTTATAATTGGGTTGCTTTTATTAATTTTTTTAGGTTTTCTGAATCTTTCACATGTCCTGGCAGATTTTCTTTTATGAACTTAACTCCAAAGGTTTCAAGAGCCTCATCATAACCTAGATAGTGATTTTCCCTGGTAAGATTAATTGATGCTGCTACTTGGAGCTTTTTTTGTAGAGATGGATTTCTGCAGGTTTTAATCAAAAATCTACTTACTGATTCTGCATATCTACTTTTTCCAGTTATAGGAAATAATGGTGCAAATGCATTTAGGCTTTTTAATTGTAATTCTAAGTTTCCTGTTCTGATACCTAATTTATGTAGTTTTAATAACCCTACCCACTTATAATACATTACCCAAACTTTAAGGATATTGTTATCACTTGCTAATATATTATTAATATTAGTATTATTTTGTCTCATATACAGGTAGACTGAAATGCCGATGGCTGTCCATATCAGATCAAGCACTCGAAAAGTTGCTCTATAATCTGCAACCTTATCAAATTTATCTAAGAATCTTACACCAAGAGTTTTAGCTATTCCAAAAAGACCATACCCGGAGAAAGCTGATATTAAGGCACTGCACATTGCCTTATTGGTGTGCCACTAGCCAAGAATGCAGTTCAAGTCTTGTTGAGAATTAGAATAATTTTTTAGTCTACGGTAAATTGCTTCATCACAAACTATATCTAAAACACCTTCGTTAGATATGCCAAAGTCATCCAAATACATGTCACATGCTTTGTGTACATTTTCATCTGAATTTGGTTCATGACCAGCCTCAAGAATTACAATATTTGGTGGTGGTAAGTCACATCCACTTATAATATATTGTTGAATTGAAATATCTGCATTTTCTTTGTAAAAGTTCTTAATGTATGTATTGTACAGAGCATCAAAAACATTATTAAATTTTTCAATCCAATTTTCAACAAATGAATTTTCACTAAATAATGGTTCCTTTATTGTTGGTTGAAACATTGGTAAATCAGGTAAATCAAACTGAAATACCATTCTTAATGTTGCATGTGATGTATTTCTTGTAACATCAAAGATGTTACCATAAGAAAATGTATGATCTTTAATGTCAATATTATCAATTACTGCTAGATTCCAAATATTACGACCTGTTTTAAGCTTGGATGCTGGTACAGCTCTTGAAATACGTTTATTCATATTCCTGTTTTCATGATGTCTTGTATGTGAAATAACATGGACTTTTTGTAATATTGAATATAGATAGGGCATCAGTCTTGGTTTCTGGCATAATGATGACATCACTTGTGTAAGCCAAATTTTAGCATTGGGAAAAGCAAATGTTAATATTACTGATGCCAAAAATGTAGTAAGCTTTATTAAATTAGTTTCATTGAACACAGGTGGAGGTAATTTGCGTTGTTTTCTTTCTTTTTATTACACCATGTTTTTTTTCTTCTAGATCATGAATAAGCTAAAAAATAAGATCAGTAAGATCTTTTGGCATTATTTCGTAAAATTCAGCAAGTGTGGCAGGATTCTCTAATGTTTCTTTATTTTCTATGAGCTTGGTATGTGATTTCCAGACAGATGTTGCTAAAGATTTACTAAATTTTATGTATGATTCTGTTTGTGATTTATTTGATTGTAAATTTTCATTTGTAGGCATTTTATTCACTCTAAATGCTACACTTAAAAGAAATAAAGTTGGTCTAGGAACTATTAAATTATTGGATGGTATGGAGGATTCTTCTACTATGGATTCTGTTGATGTAAAATCTTGTACTATAGGTTTGGTAGAAACTTCTGTATTAAAATCTTTAAAAACTTGTATTAAAAGATTTAATAATTTATTTTTTGCATTTATATCATCTGAGGAAGCAACATTGTTGATCCATTTAGAAAAAAGAATCAAAGATAGGGATGATTCTTTGTCATGTATACATGGTTTTGGATGTTTTGTTCCTGTTCTTATATGTAGATGTCCTCCATTTAATACCCAACAATTAGTACAAATATATCTTACACGTTGAGGAATATTTGTTTGAAAACTTTGCAAAATCAGGTAATCCTTCCATTGCTGGACAATTATATAAGCCTCTACATGGAATCTGAATATTGCGTCCACAAACATTCCATATATGCACTGGGCAGTAATCACCTCCTCTAGTGACAAAATATTTAAATTTGTTGCAAAGAAGACATCTCTTTTTATGCAATTTACATTTATTAGCTGCAATAATTGATTTGATACGTGTTTCTCCTGGTAGAGGTTTGTGAAGTGTATTTTGATCATAATTTAGATGTCTTAAACACATACCTAATCTTTGTATATCTTCTCCAACTTCTTTAACAGCACCTGAATCAATCTCAAATGAACCACTTAAATTTGAAATACTACGATTTCTATCTATACAATTACATCTTTCAATTTTGTTTCCATTTTTGTCATTGTCAATGATTACACATGGTGTTACTTTATCAAATTCCTCTGGGAATTCTTTATCATATTCTTCTTATTATCTTCATCATCATTTATTTCACTCA